CCCGACCCCACATGTATTCGTCCTCATTCGCTTGCCGGACGAAACACTAGCCACTCCACTCTGCCGCCAAGCTCCTGTGTGACGATCTCCGGTCTTGTCCAGCATGTCGGGCAGAGGATCCGAGTCCCCATTCACTCAGGGTGTGCGTTCGTTTTTTTCAGTTTGGTTTGGTTTGGTTTATACGGTTTTCGGTTTATACGGTTTTTATATTTCGGTTTATACGGTTTTATACATAGATACAGTTCGGTTTCGGTAATAACCATTTGATTTCGGTTCGGTTTCGGTAATAACCAAAATAAACAAAGTCGACGCGAATTTTTGAACAGTGCATAATTTTTTATCACATGATTCAATTTGTGTACGTAGGTTAGTTTTTTCTTTTGAGAACTATGTACATAAATTAAATCATTAGATGTCATACATGATTTGGTGGGGCATATATGTATCATGTATGTACGATGTGCACCAGATCGAGGCATATGACTGATGAGGCGTTGAGCCGTTGACGGAGATGTATGCACGTACTAGAAAAATTTGAGGATAAGACAGGAAAAGAGCACCGCGTGCGCTATGCTAGTCTCCAGGTTTTTGTACGTGAAAAAATGCCATGAAATACCATAGCGCTAGCCAATAGCCTCCAGGCTCCTGGTCCAAGCGCAGCGCCAGCTCAGGGTGTGTGTTTGGTTTTTTCAGTTTGATTCGGTTCGGTTTATATGGTTTTTATACTTCGGTTTATATAGTTTTATACATAAATACGGTTCGGTTTCAGTAATAATCATTTGATTTCGGTTCGGTTTCGGTAATAACCAAAATAACCAAAGTTGACGCAATTTTTTGAATAATGCATAATTTTTTATCACATGATTCAATTTGTGTATGTAGGTTAGTTTTTTCTTTTGAGAACTATGTACATAAATTAAATCATTAGATGTCATACATGATTTGGTGGGGCACGAGAGTGGCAATAGAGCACACGAGCTTGCTTGCTCCTGTTAGCTGCACCAATGGAACAATCACACGTGGGCACATGTATTAAGTGTGGGTGTGCAAAACAGGGAAGGATACGCAGCATCCACAGTAGCATACGGTGACAGGTTCCGTTTAATGTGACGGCATGAAGACGGTAGGACATGCAACGGGAGATGCACATATGTTCCGTCGGTACAACATGCTATTTATTATATATATTTTTGCAAGAAATACTACTTATTATAATTAGAGAACAATATATTTTTCGTTCCCCAACTTTTGTCGGATTCTAATTTTTTTTGCGGGGATTCTAAATTTGATCCCGCAACTTTGAAACCGGACAACTTGCACCCTCAACTATTGAAACTGGACAACTTTCACCCCGGTTTTGATTGCGCTGACTCCAATTCATGTATTATTTTCAAATTCGTGAATATTCTAAAATTCACATACATTTTTCAAATCCGCTTAATTTTCCAAGATTTCGCAAACTTTCCAAGTTCGCGTAGTTTTTTTTTTCAAATCCATGTTTTTTTCTGAAATCCCTGTACTTTTCAAATCCATGTATCTTTTCCAAGTCCGAGTATTTTTTTAAAGAATCACATACCTTTTTTTCAAATGCATTAAATTTTTTAAAAATCGTGAACTTTTCAAATCCATGTACTGTTTTCAAGTTCACATACTTTTTTCAAATTCACGTGCTTTATTTGGAAAAATCATGAATTGTTTTAAAAAATCTGAAATTTAAAAAGGTATGCGGATCTGAGAAAGTATACTAATTTGAAAAAAAAACATGGGTTTGAAAAATTAGATGAACTTTAGAAAAGTACGCGAATTTTAAAAAATTACCTGAACTTGAAAAAATTAAGTGGATTTCGAAATAGTTCATGGATTGGAAGAAAATACGCGGATTTGTAAAATTGTCCAAACTTGAAGAAAGTATGCAATTCTGAAAAAATTATGTGAACTTAAAAAAGTACGTGAATTGAAAAAAAAGGCCGATCGATGTTACCATCAGTTCACACCTTGGACACGTACCTTGCACATATCGATATACAAAACCAAAAATAGTGTCTCATCTGATGCATGGACGTCCGTCGCTCTGTGTCGTACTAATGTTGCCTCTTCGATCCCAAGCGAAGCGACGCCTCATGATTCCATGATCGGGCGAGTTCGTCCACGCCTGTGAATATTCGACCAATTTGCATGTGGGAATTTATGCAACGTGACAATGTATTAGAATAGACTAGATTTCAGTTGTTGATGTGTTGGGTAAAGTATCATGAAACGAAATGAAATTCAAACATATAGTGGGTGAGGACAAGTTGTTGTTTAAAATTGAAATGAACGGAGGGTCGGCTGATGATTCATGAAGTGTTGCAGCAATTCAAACGAAAGTGCGTTCCAGATGCACTAGATGACTCTCCCAACTAGCCATGCCTTTATCTGATGTATTGACAGATAGACTGAAACTTTAGTTTTTCCTGCTGGAGCTCGTCTTCGTTTTCTTTTTTGAGAAAATAATGGTGGGTATATAAGCAGTAGTACTATACTGTTGTCTTGGATGCCTCGTGAAAGGATAGTGACTGGGCTCTCGACAGCCTATGACCTGGACTACGGGTAGAAGACGGAGCTTGCCGTGAACTGCTGTTACCATGGAACGAACGTTACTGTGCTAGGTGGGCCAGCTGGCGAATTTATGGCAGCGTCCCTTCAGCAAATCTCGATGATGTCTCACGGTGTATGATACCGTGACCAGGCAAGGACGGGCACTCCTGTGAGTTTTCGATATATGTATCATGTATGTACGACGTGCACCAGATCGAGGCATATGACTGATGAGGCGTTGAGCCGTTGACAGAGATGTATGCACGTACTAGAAAATGTGAGGATAAGACAGGGAAAGAGCACCGCGTGCGCTACGCTAGCCTCCAGGTTTTTGTACGTGAAAAAATGCCACGAAATACCATAGCGCTAGCCTATATAGCCTCCAGGCTCCTGGCCCAAGCGCAGCGTCAGCCCAGCGCGTGCATTGGGCAGCCAAGGGCCCAGGCGGCCAGGCCCAAGCGCCAGGCGCTAGCCTCCAACTCGGGCGCCAGCCGCGCCACGCAATAGTACCACCTCGCGGAGCGAGTAGGATTGAGGGCCAGTTTTTTTGGACAATTCTCCCAGAATTGTCACACTATCTTTTTTTTTACAATTTCTAGCTAATTAGACCTTAACTAGCTAGGAATTGAAAAAAAATGAAGTGGCAATTTTGGAAGAAGCTGAGGAAGGGATCAATTTTGAGAAAATTGCCCAAAAGAACTGGCCCTGAGATGAGTGGATGGCTATAAAAGGAGGGGCGACGGGAGGGATCAACTTAGGGCTTTGGCTGTTTAACACACAACGAAGAGTTTCGGTTTAACCGAAAACCGTCGGTTTCTAACTGAAAAAACCGAAGGTTATATGGTTTTCGAAATTGGAAACTGAAACTGAAACCGAGACATGAAAAAACCGAAATTCGGTTCGGTTTTTGGTTTTCGGTTCGGTTTTGCACAGGCTGAGCGCCAGCCCAGCACGTGTGTTGGGCAGCCAAGGGCCCAGGCGGCCAGGCCCAAGCGCCATGTGCTAGCCTCCAACTCGGGCGCCAGCCGCGCCACGCAATAGTACCACCTCGTGGAGCGAGCAGGATTGAGATGGGTGGATGGCTATAAAAGAAGGGGCCACAGGAGGGATCAACTCAAGGCTTTGGTTGTTTAACACACAACGAAGAGTTTCAGTTTTATTCGGTTTAACCGAAAACCGTCGGTTTCTAACAAAAAAAACAAAGGTTATATGGTTTTCGAAATTGAAAACTGAAACTGAAACCGAGACCTGAAAAAACTGAAATTCGGTTCGGTTTGGTTTTTTTGGTTCGGTTTTTTGTTTTCGGTTTGGTTTTGCACAGGCTGACCTGTCACCTGATCTGCAAACTAGGACCTCATCCCAGTCGGGCCCGAGAAGGAGATGGTTTTCCACATTGCGCTCTGCTATGCCCGCAAGGAAAACACATGACAACGGTTGGACTCGATCCGGCGGGGATCCATAGAGTTCGCCCAAATGGCGCTTGGATCCGGTGCGAGGTGCGTCATCGCTGCCTCACAGGAGGCAGTGCGGCTTCCGAACGCCATACAGTGCAACCCCTTCATTGACGCGCCGACAAGGAGACCTTCCGTGGCCAGTCCGCTAAGGATATGGCGCGGCGTGCCCGTTATGCGAGGCAGAGGTCATGGGAGGCTGCGACAGACGTCAGCGAGGCAGAGTCACACTCTCTAGCACCGATACAAGTGGCCGGCAACCACAGACGCCGCATCGTCGTGGACATGTTGGCCTCCGACCACGATGGATCCATCGTCGATCTCACATCGCCCGACGACGCGCACGTGACGGGCTCCCATGAGGAAGAGTAGAGCATGGGAGATGGTGGTGCCTTGAGTCCCGTGAGTTGGTGTGTGTCCCATGTCCTATTCTACCTCGCCGACGACCGCACGAATACTTCGAGAGCGCAGCCAACCGTTCGGACATGGACTCAGCGGAGCCGGACGAGCTCCGCATAGATTAGATTTCACGTGCATATAATTATATGGATTTAAAAATTCGTAATCGAGGTATCTAGTTGTAGAAACGATAATTTGATGCATGACGGGTCACTATCCGCGAATGCGCTCAGACGTGCCCATGAGCCTTTGAGGTGTCAGATTTGATGTATCCGCTGTAGATCCTCCTACGTACAGTACGTGTTAATCCTGGATTACGTTTATTTGGGTGGAGGGGAGCTGGCCGCGGCTGAGGGCCACATCGTCTCCGGTAGATGTTGAAGGCGAAGACCAAAGCTGATAGCTGTGTCTTTTACTCGTTTGGAAGCAAGACAATGGCAGCCACTGATTCCGGACTAGATCGAATCCACGGGACTGAAAATGCTCACAGAAATGCGGCAAATAATAATAACTAGAAAAACATGAAGTACATTCGGGAATTCCTTTTCGATAATACACTGAAGAATTCGTTCATCAAAAGTAGATCTTGTCGGGCTCCTGAGCCTTACAGGTGACCTCAGCGAACACGACAACCTCGGGGCCCGGCGGCGCCAGCGGCAGAGCGAGCGGGCAGCTGAAACCCAGCTTACGCTTGTTGCCGAGGCCGTCGAGCCCCAGGTAGGTGACCTCCCCGGAGAGGCGCACCTCGACGCTGAACACGCCCGTCGCGTTCTGCTTCTTGAAGTCCTCCGCCGCCGCCGCGTCCAGCACGTACGCCGGGACGTCCCCGACCGCGCGGACGACGTGCACCTTGGTCTTGAGCATCTTGTGCTTGTGCCCCTCGCCGGCGATGGTGGCGTTGTACAGGCGCCGGTCGTGGAAGACGAAGGTGGCCACGAGGGGCTTGGTGTGCTTCATGACCGCCCCGCTGGGATTGCGGATGGCGAGGGCCACCGAGATGTCGAAGGCGAAGACGGGCGAAGGCGCCGCCGCGCCGGTCGTTCTGCTGGCGAAGGCGAAGCTGTTGAGACGGGCGTCGTAGACCTTGGCCTTGACTTGGGGGACGACGCCGAAACGTAAGACGACGACTGTGATAGCGGCGAGGACGGCGGCCACCGCGAGGCCGATGCCCAAGCCGGCGAACCACCGCCTACAGTTTCGTGGTGGTCCATACGGACAGCAGCAACCATTGCAAGACTTCGCCATTTGTGACACCGTGAGTCTGACAGGTTGGATGATTCTACCTATGTCGCCGGACTGGGCCACTTGGAGTAGGGTGACTCTGGCTGCCGGAATATATTGTGCGCGTCGGTGGATACTTCCTCTTGCTAAGAAAAATTACTGAAACTGACGATTTTCGCATGCAAACACAGCCTAAATATTGAGTTATTACTGTACGAGGTTTAGACGACATCTTAAACATCTGAAACAACATATGAGAGCAAACTAGGAAATTATGGCATATGAAGTCCGTCGTCGCCTAATCGCCTGCAAAAAAAAAAGTGCGACGCATGTGGTGGGTAGTAATAATGCTAAAAGTCAATTGAGCAAATTGCCAAGCAACTCGGGCAAGTAGGCATTCGAAAAGAAGATTGTTGAATCGATCATCTCTTGTTTATTGTAGACTACGGTTGGTATCATCCCAGCTGCCGTTGTCTTTGGGTTACCGTATAGCAAGATGTTCGGTTTAATCCCCAAATAGTTTAAGTCGGTTGTAAACTAGACTAACTTGGACCCCGTTGATTAAGCCACAAAGCACCGACACACAAAGTTTTTGCATTTTTCCCTTGCTACACTATCACATAAAATTTGTATTTCAAACTGAAATTGAACAGACAACATTGTATCTGGAGAATAAAAATATCCATTACCACGAAGAGATATGTGGAGTACGTAGCAGTTACAAGGAGAAATACAATTTAATAGGCTTCACAATGACGTACATATCATAGCGTACTGTTTTATAAATAATTCATTCTAGCAATAATAGGGAGTATCCATTCCATCTTGCACATGTCTGCTGAACAAAACCCAAATTTCATGCTCGATGGAGATTGGAGACCTGAAACGTCATATAGTAGGTTATCAGCAGCTGAAATGCAGAACAAGTCAGTTATAAAGAGTGAAAATTGCATACCTGGCATGACATTTTAGTTTCTTATGGATGCACATCGTCCGTTTAGCTTGTCGAGAATTGTTTCTATGGATGGTCTCTTCAGCCGATCAATCTCAACACATTCCAGTCCTATTTCAATGCATTTTTTTACTTGTTGGAGGCCATCCACATCTAACAATGGGTACTCAGATGCGATGCGCTGCTCTTTCCAATTTTCACGTACCTACATATAGGATTGGAATCATGATCCTCAAGATAACACAAAAATCAATCGTAACATGAGCTTTTAAAGTTTAGTTTTCAAATCATGAAGCAAAATTTCTCTTATATTTTTTATGAATTGCACTGCAGAAGGTTCTTTGCCTGGACAATTCTTCTCTCCCGTGGTAGTCTCCATGATTAGTAGGCCTAAACTGTATATGTCTGACTTGGTGGAGATTTCACCTCTGTATAGATATTCCGGAGCTATGTATCCACTGCATATCATTAAGATTTTTAAAAGTATTATCGGAGAGATTAGAATGCAGTTTACTTTAAGACGAAGGAACAAAAGATTATCGCAGTTTGTGGTCAACTTACTATGACCCAACAACATTCTGTGTGTTCATCCGTGTTTGTTCTTGACCAAAGAGTCTGGAGAGACCGAAATCGGCGATTTTCGGCACCATGTTATCATCCAACAGTATGTTTTCCGGCTTGAGATCCATATGGACAATAGGAATGCTGTGTACAAAGTGCAAACCGTTGCAAATCCCCTTAATTATGTTGAAGCGTATGTTCCAGTCCATTTTTGTATGTAGTTCTGAAGAAGTAAAACACAGGATTACTGAATTACTCGAATATAACGAATTACAATAACATAAACATTTATTTATTAGAATGCTGGCAGCAAAAATATGTTCACAATGACAAGTTTTCAGTACAATAACAAGTTCTTTTGATAAGATCAACTATTGTAGTTTTTTTCCCACTATTGAGCATTGAAAAGTTAAAGGAATATAGTGATGTCAAACTCCAATCCGTAGTACTATAAACATATCAGAACATTAACACGAATGCAGTCTGAATCAGGTAGTATTGTATTTACCAAAAAGATTCTTCTGAAGGCTTCCCCTTGGTACGTACTCGTGGCAAAGTAAACTTTCAACAATGTCAGCCACGATATATCTTCCATTGTTCAGCACCACTTTCTTTTGACCTTCATGGCAGTAGCCCACCAATTTTACTACATTTTCATGGTGGAGAGCCATAATATTCTGAACCTCGTTAGCAAATGCTTTCTCACGCGCAATTGGTGAATTTTCAGCGAGTTTCTTCACGGTAATTATTTGCCCATCCGGCATTAATCCCTGTTCGACCTCAAAGATACTTTTTCAGCAAACATTGGCATCTTTCTTCAGAAACTCATGCGAAGGTGAAAATATAAAGGCAGAGGAATGACCACATACCATATAAACAGTTCCAAATGCGCCTGTACCGATTTTACGCTCGTCTGAGAACTGGTCGGTGATGGTTTTCAGAAAGTCTAACGGCAGATTCTTCGGCAATGTGCTCAGAACGCTCGGCTGACCTCCGCCAGCGCCGGTCGCCATTTCTGATGGTTGAACAAGCTTTGAGGTGAGCTGCTTCAAGCTACACGCATCGTCAGAAACTCTTATGCCCCATATAGAAGGACAGATCTAAGTACACAGGACTAGGCGCACATGGATCTCTTGGAAACTAAGCAGCATATATGCGGCTTCTCGATTCAAAAGCACTAACCTGGGGAAGATCGAACACTTGGGGGTGATTCTCTCGAGCAGCTGCGAAGAGAACAACGAAACGGGGATGAGGCTTGTGAGAAGAATCGCTTCCTTGCTAGTAGTTGCTAGCTTCGGGTGGATTTATACGAACCAACCCAATGAGATCTGGATGGAGCGCGTAGGCAAAGAATGAGTTGACTTGACTCAAAGCGGTCTAGCCTATGATGCTCACTTGCTGATGTCTTTCTGGGAAAAAAAATATGGTGCACCCACTACGAATATAAAATCCTGTCAGCATCGCTGCTTTAAATATCCTCACACTGTAGCTCTTTCCACACTGTGGCTTTCATCGACGGCGTGTCCGCGTGGCTTGCGAGGTGCAGGCCACAAGGCAAGGCTTCTTCTTTTTCCCGCAAAAAAAGGCTTTCTTTTTTAAAATCGAGGCAAAAACTTTGCCTTTCCTATTAATTATTAAAGAAAAATTGTCTGAAAACCCCTTTTGGAGGCCGAGCCTCATGGGGCCGGTTTGAAAAAAAAATCAAATTTCATATTTTTACAGTTCAAAAAAAATCTGAAAATAAATAGACATACATGGAGGCATAATGCACAAAATGTGTAAATTTTCAGGATAAAATACGTTGATATGATGGTTGTGCAAAAGAATAAACCTGAGGCTTTTTAACACATGATACTATTCATCCACTCATACCATGACTTTGTTTTTTTATAGATCACATTTCAAGGATGTTCCATCCTGAAATTCGGCCTCCATGGAGGTCGAGAGGCAAGAGCAATGGCAACAAAGCCATTAGTCCTAAATAAGTTAGGGTATACTAGAGCTGAAACTCATGAGAATCTCGCAACCAATTCATGGTTCTAAGGCATGGATAACAAGCTTTCATGCATCCCTGTCCATGGCTAATTCTCTGGTGATATTTCAGTCCTTCGGATCTCTCTTTACAGGACTCCTCCCATGTCAACTTTGGTCTACCCTGACCTCTCTTGACATTATCGGCATGCTTTAGCCATCCGCTATGCACTAGAGATTATGGAGGCATGCGATGAATATGCCCAAACCATCTCAGACGGTGATGGACAAGTTTCTCTTCAATCGGTGCTACCCAACTATGTCTCATATATCATCATTCCGGGCGTCTCACTCAAATCTGCCAGTTAACTACGGAAGTGAAAACATTCAGGGCCAAGCCCACAATCCGACGGCTCAACAAACCCAACAAAAACAGACCAACCTCACAAACAAAAACAAACGAAAAACCTGTCACCGAAACTAGCTGGCCTCCCATCACCGTCGAAGAGAAGAAGTCAAGACTGCTATGGGAGGTGTAGACCGGAACTCTCGAAGTCAAGACTGTTATGGGAGGTGTAGACCGGAACTCTCCTACAAAGATGGCAAAGCAAGCATCGTCCCAAACCATGCGCCAGGTACCTTGCTTGACATGCCAATGAACAACTTCGATTTGTACCCCCCGTCGCCTGCTTGACACGAGGCCAAAGCCCTCAAAGCTGCAGAAACTCTCGGGGCCGCCTCCCGACATGCACCACTCCATCGCGTCCTGCATGATCAACTAACACCACCTTCCGGGACCGCTACACCCAACATACCGCCGCTCGCCTCCAAGTTGCAATGCCGCACGATGCGACCACCCGTAGCCCAAGCTACATAGGGAAGCCGCGTGCAGACCATGGCCATACACATGATTGTCACCCCAAGCCATCACCAATATGTCGCCCTGCCTCATAGAACGGGCGCCTGCAATGGTTCCCAAGGCCACCAGCACGACGCACCAACAACAACCCGGGGCCGCCGCCCCGACATCCCCGACTCACGACGACAGGAGGGGACTGCGCAAGAGGTGTGTGCAAACCCTCCAAGATGACGCCTCCAAGGAGGAAATGAGGTAGGCGTCGTCGTCGCCCACTCCGACGGCTTAAGCTAGGGATTTCTCCCAAAGAGCCCACCCCAAGAGGGGTGGGGAAGAGCTTCACAACAACACCTCCAAGAAGAAAAATGACACTAGTACGAACGATCGGGCAAGACTTTCACCCGAAGCTTCTCCACACAGATTCCCGGAGCACACACCACCCCGCAACGACAAATAACAACACATCATGCTGCGGTGGCCAACTGCAAACACCTCGCTGGCACGAGCTCTGATCTCATGTCTGGGACGTTGTGCTGGCATCGAAACTGCATGCACACAAGCAAAAACCGAGCCGAGACAATGACACACATCAAAAAGAAAAAATACGTAAGTCGTTAAGTCTGAGTCGACTGAGTCATAGCCACACCCTATTAAAATGTAGCTGAAATAATTGAATTTGCTATA